CGCTGAGCTATATCCCCGGCTCCAGGCCAGGTGTTTGGGGAGGTGAAAATGGGGGGTCTAGAAGGTCCCTGCACTGAAGCCAAGCCCTGCCCTAAGGCAAGCCCCTGGCCAGGATGCGATGCAGGGCAAACGGGAGGGGAACAGCCTCTTCAAACGCTTGCTATAGTGCAAGACCCATCTCGACTGCCCTCTTCTCCAGCGGTCCCCTCACCTCCACGCCAGTCAAAACTCCATGATTCATTCGAGCAGCTCACATCTATTTGCACGCTATGTACAAATCCCTGTGTTAACCCTTGACTATCTCATCTCACTCTAGAGAGCAGTCTTGCTGGGGGCGCAACAACAACGTTGCTTTCTGGAGTCTAACAAATCCCAGGGTTCAAATCTGGACCCTGCCTTTGCCTTTGGTAAAACTGCGCAACTTCTCTGCGTCTCAGGTCCCTCAAGCAGCCTCTTCCCAGAGGTTATGCAGCGAGTCGAGCTCACACTAGACGTGCCGCAAACGGCTCACAAACGCTGCCGCGCGTGCGCCAACGGCCACTCCTCGCGGACCCAGCCAGCCTCCGGAGATTGTTTACAAGCACTGGAGGAGAATGAGCTCACTCCGAGCGACGGGCGCGGCCAATGGGCTTTGGACCCCGCAGCCTGGAGACAGCACTGACGAATCAGACGCGGCGGGGGCGGGGCGAGGCCGGCCCACTACGGGCGGCCGCACGTGCGCGGAGGGTGTCGGCGCCGTTTCCAGTCAGGCCGGGGCCGCGGGGGTCCCTCGGTCCGGGACTCGTACCTGGGCAGCGCGCGTCCTGACAAGGCACCTTCTCAGGGCTGCCGGCATCGCCGCTCACGTAGCACCAGGGCCCGCGCGGGTCGCGGTCCGGATTACGGCAGTAGTTGTGGTTGCCGACGCCTGAGGCGGGAGAGGAGGCGTAAAAGCGGCGGTCCGGACCGCTGGCGCCCGCCGCCCCCCGGCGAGAACTCACCCGGCTCCAAGGGAGACGCCGGGCCGCCCTGCGCGTCCAGCCAGTTGAGGCAGCGAAGGCCCGGCGCGGGCGAGGGCTGGTCTTCCCGGTACAGGTGTCCGTTGTCCCAGAAGCAGCCTGTGACAGAGAGGAGCCCCCGCCCCGGACCTGAGTGCGGCGGCCGGGGGAGGCGCAGAGCCCGGGCCCGGCGCCCTTGCTGGCGGGGGGACCCGGGACTGTCTGTACCCCCCGCCCCCCGTTTGGTGGACAAGCCTGCCAGCCTGAGAGGGCTGCAGTGAGGGCCAAGTGAAAGAAGCGAGCTCCTTAAAGCTCCGAGCCCTTCGC